AAAATGTGGGTACCTCTTCAAACAACAGATATCAGCATACAGTATCAGCAACAGATGCTTTTTTAATCTACAACTTTTCACGGAGGCTGATGGTAACAGATCAAAAATAATAATTTAGTTTCATTCATAATTATTAAATGGAACACATAATGCACTTGTCAACTGTAGCCTGCTCCCTCCCAGAACTAGCAGAGGACCTTGCAGGGGAAGTACATTTCTAAACAAAATCTTGCAGGGCAGCATTCGAAGGTAAATTCCTGTTTAGTCTCTGCCAATGCCAACTGGGATATATTTTGTAGTCCCCAGTTGAAATTCTTGAAATTCCCAGCTAAGTCCTGGCCCATAGGTTTTCAGATGCAAGCTTTTCTTCTTCTGGTCAGATCAAAGGACTCTTGCCAATCTATGACCTGGTGGACCGAAGTTGGATGGCTGGCTTGGTACTGGTACTACTGTCACTGTACTAGTATGTCGCGGCCAGGGGTACTTTTACTACTCGAGGCAAGAAAAGAGCAACACACAGGTTAGGGTCTGCGAGTACCCCAAAGCAAAAGTAGGTCAAGATATAGCACCGTTCAAGAAAGTTGACTGTTCGAAATCTCACTGTTGGTTTGTTGGATGATACCATGAATATTTTTTATAAAATGAAAAAAAACAAAAAACACTATCTCAAACTGTGTGTGTGTGTTAGTAGAGGAAAGCAAAGCCATTGCTGTTTGATACTATTAGAGGATGATCGTTACCAGCTATCAAATAAAGCTGTACTGTTTTGTAGGCAACCCCAGCTACATTCATATTTCTGATGCAGACCATTTACATCCCGGGTCACTTACACCCAGGTCTAAGGTGACAGTCATTACCTGTACATCTCCGGAATAGGCCTAGGCCTAGTCCCCACTACTTAATAACTATGGACCGTGTCCGGGGAGCACACTACAATTAAATTGACAAGTGCACAATCGAGCTAAAAAAAGCTTATTTTTTTCTACTCCATACTATTTTTTAGAGACAGCTAGGCCTAGTCCTAGTTACAACCAGGCCTAGTAGCCCATCCTCCCTGACTGAGTGATAATTTATATTAAATTTATTCCTAGGAGGAGGCCTAGGCTAGCCTAGCTAAAGAGGCTAAACCTGTCCCCACAAAAGAATACAGTTGCCACTCAACAAGTTACCCATTCAAGAAGAGGGTAGGGACTGATTTAGATAAAACGAAAACAATACCGGCGACCTCTCTCAAGAATTGAGTAGGATGTATGAATATGTAAAGCAAGGACCATTGTATGGTAATGACAGCTGTGTCGCAGACCTGGTGAAAAGGCATCAATATTTACTTGCAAAACAACACATGACATTTAACACTAAAATGAATAAGGGAAAACAAAAATATAATAAATATTAACCTAAAGACGAAAAAACAAAAAATTTACCTGTGAAGGTTTGGGCAGATTAGAACACATTACAATAACACCGGCTACAAACAGCTGATTAACCATGGTCACTTCGCTCAATACAGAAAGGCAATGCTAACGAAATTCAAACCTCAAAGAAGGCTTCCCTACACATTGAAGGAACTATTCTAAAAGCGGGGTGAAATATGGGTACTGCCTTGTTTCATATTTCTTAATATCAGTAAGCTGCCATAGCTGTTGTAAATTAATTCTTTTATTTTTTAGATTACATTATATTTTTGAATCGTGTATATTGTCAATATTTACTTAACCACAGTTCTGAAGTAAAATATGTTTTCAAACATTATTTACCTTTCAATATAATAGATCGGTCTATACATCATGCCACTTTTCAAGCTCTAGCATGCAAATTTTTACCAGCCAATAGCGAGCTTGAATTGCATCTCCCTGATTTAAAGACCAACAAGCTTTGTTCTCGTCGCGTTTCAGTTGCTATTTATAGACACAGGGTTATACAATGAGCGGTGCGGCCCGTATGACACAAACAACAAAGTGAACAAAACAAAAACAAGTTTATGCTGTTTCTTTATTATTATACGATTATTATTCCTCCATTTCTGGGTTAAAAATATTGCATACATGTTAGAAATATGTCACGTGTCCTTATTATGATAGCGTTTTTTAGAACTGGAAACACCACAGTAAAATTTAAGGAATTGGTAAAAAAAAAAATGAAAAAAATCTTTTAAAAACAGACGTTCAAAGAGTTCAATTCCGACAACTTATATCTAAACAAACTTTAGGTAATTTGTTTTTAAATTATGTAATAAAACAACAGAATCAGCTTGTTTTGTTGTTTTTGGAACAAGAACAAGTCATCGACCGACGTACGTTAGTAATAGGTTCTTTGGTAATATGCAAATGATCTCCCAGGTTAGCTGCCGACCCTGGACCGTACGATGAGAGAGGCGATTGACTTCAGATGAACTGTGTGATTAGTGACGTGTATAATATAAATAAGTAGACTCGAAAATACAGTACAGTAATACATCAAGCATTTTTAAAGCGCTCTATACAATATCTATACTAGCTTTGCATTTAATTCTCTGAAAAAAGGTAGCATTGCAGTGGTTTTTATGATGCATCAAGAGATTTCTCTTACGAATGAAAGATCAAAGAAGGCCCATAGAAGGTACATTCAGCAGAGAAGCTGGGCCTAAAGGATCTCGATCTCTACTTAGATTTGAATACTACTAGTTGTCTAAATTGTGTTGTTTTTTTTTTAACGTAAATTAGACGTAGAAAAATATGTTCCAATTAGGAAATTGTCTGAAGGCAATCCCTCTTTAATACTGTGTACGGGACTGTATAGTCTAATATAGAATACTGTGAAGAAACATATATTATACAGTATGTAAAATTTTATCCATCAATAGTAAAATTTAATAATATAGAATACTGTAATTTTAAAAATAATTGGTTGTAAGAAAACATAAGAGATTACTACTGTAATATTAAATTGTATCCATCAATCAATAATCATGTTTGTACTTTTCACCTGGATTTTTTGGGTTAAAGTAGTTAACTTAAAGATTTGCAACTGTATGTCATTAAACTAGAAATCCAAACAAATCTTCAAAAAAAAAAAAAAAAAAAAAAAAAAAGCATGCATGCTTTTAGTATATTAATTTGGTGTATATACCTCTGATGTAAGATTCCAGTTTTATTAGGTTTATTATCATTATATAATATATAAATAATAATAATAATTTAACAATTTTATAATGATGCTGAAGCTTTGTAATCTTATTCAAATATGATCGCTTCACTAAATAAAATTTTAAAGAAATAGTTTGTTTGCCAGTTCGGTTCTTTATTGTGTTTTTATCCTTCAATATGTTTGCCAATAAATAAATAGGCCAGTTTGCCGAATACAGGTATCGCCAGCAAACATAAATAACTTTTAGGATTGAGATATTTCAGGAAAATCATTTATTGCTGCGAAGCAGCCAATTCATATTCTTGACAGCAATTTGACCTCTAAAGGTCATTGTTTGTCAAAAAACAAGGGCCTAAGACGACTGAAAAGCGGAGTTTCCTTCTTTCGTTCTGCCGGGTACCAACGTCCGCATGTTCGCGTTCTCTAGGCCTAGACTAGCTAGGATGGTATAGGCCTAGCCTTGCAGGGACGAAGGTCCCAATGAAAAACAACGTCGCTCTTTCATAGCTAACATTTTGTCTATTTAACATCACAGTAATTCATTATTAGACCTATAGTTGTTTTTTGAATTGTACTCCACAAATCTTAGCCGATACCTCGCACAACTCGTTAACGTCTCTCTCTATCTATATATATACATATATATATCTATATATATATACATATATTTCTTTTTTTTATGTTTTAAATTTAATTTCTTTTATATACTTTTATAACGCTTTGTATATATGTATAATATATATGTGTGTGGGTGTGTATGTGTGTGTATATGTGTATGTGTGTATATGTATGTGTATGTATATATGTGTGTATATGTGTATGTATGTTTGTATGTGTGTATGTGTGTATATATATGTATATGTGTACTGTATGTATATGTGTATTTATATGTGTGTATGTATGTAGGTGTGTGTATGTGTGTGTGTGTATGTATGTATATA